GTACACCTATAAAATAATACAGCCCCCTCCCTGCCCACACACCCACATATAAAGCGATATAAAATATAGGGCCCCCTCTCCTGCTTACTTTTTTGCAGGGAGGAGGCATCCCTGGTGATCCTATGGTGATTAGTAGGGTCTGCTGCAGACCTTTCTAATACATCCTTTCCGCCAGCGTTCACTGAAGGATTTCAGAGCGCTGGCCGAAAGGATCTGAATGCCGGCACAGAGGAACAGCTATGTGGTCTGCATCTGACCGATGCAGACCATGTAGCTACTCCTGCAAATCAGGTACGCGGTCCGTGACCGCGTACCTGACGTGTCAGCTGGCCGTGGGCCACAAAGTACCGACTCGCAGGCCGGTACTTTGAGACCACTGCTTTACTGTGTCATTTTTTTATATATTCGTTGACCTTTTTATGCCTGCTTTACATTGATCATGCATTGCACCATTTTTAAGCCACTTCCCATAAATATGTTACAGAAATATGGGGTTGTCATTGAATTAAAGCAAGAGGCTGAACATGAAGGCCAAACAGCTAGCATTTAAAGCGTTTAAAGTGCCAGCGTACGAGTAGCAACTTGTGCAACCTCTTTGATGAGCTGTGTGGCAACATTGCTGCATTACTGAAGCCTACTTATTGCTGTCTAGATTACCATGTTACCTAATCGTTAGTCTTGTGTAAACATCCTTAGTGTTTGCACAAACCGTTTGGGACCTTGATACAAGGCTCATGAAAGGTGGTTGTGTGACTCTGGTGCTGCCTCAGTTAAACACTATACATGCCACATGGTTAATGACACACTTGAATAAACAAACCCCTTTGAAGCACACTTAAAAGTATCCTTGTCATATGCTTGCAGGTATGAAGACTCCTGGGCTTCCCTTCACAAAGGTGCAAGAGAATGTGCTAGAACTGGGGAGGTAAGTGTGATCAGTGTGTATCTTAATGTGTTTTATCTGGGATACATGTTATCTTACCTATGTTGGGGGTAGGCAACCATGGCACTACAGCTGTGGTGAAACTACAAATTCCCTTATACCTCTGCCTCTTGGTGACATGCCTGTGGTTGTCCGTTTTTGCAGTGGCTAATGAGAGTTAGTTTCACAACAACTGAAGTACCAAGGTTACCTACCCCTTCTACTTCAGAAGAAGGGACAGGCATTTTTTTTTGGTTGGTAAGAAGTATACTGTCTTGTAATAAACAATAGAATTGACTATTGAAGTGCTAAGAGATAAAACACATGAAATGTGGTGGACATTGAGATGATGGTGAACGTAGGTATCAGGTGGCTTTAGGCTACAACACATCTGTGTGTTTAGCTAAACACACATAAAATGATTTAAATTAAACTTGTGAAAGTAACATGGGGGATGCCAGTGCTGATCTCCTCTTCTGAACTTGCTATTTGCATGGCCGTCATTCAGACCCTGTTTCTTCAATGGATTGAACCACTAACCCAGAAGAACACATAAGGAGTTCTGACTCTTGGAACTGATTCCCACGTGGATAACTGTCTGAGGAAGTTCTTCTTCCCCTGAACAATTCACTGTGATTACATCAGGAGGCAAGAATCAATTTGTTTCAGCTTTATCAACATATAAAGGAGTTAATGGGGAAGAAAGAAACATTAAAGATCTCTAGACAAAAACCCTCCAAGAGCAAAAAGTGGGACACGCATAATGAGGTACATCAGGCACCATGGAATGGTTAATTGTATTAACCCCTTCGTGACTGACGACGTACAGTGTACGTCGCCAGCATCGGGGCTGTTTAAACAGACTCCCGGCGACTTTTGCCGCCGGGACTCTGTTTAAACTTGTAGAACTGTTGCATGTACTGAGGTTAAGTAAACATAACACTAACAGGGTTATTCACTAACGGGTGAAGAGTTTGGAGAAGGCAGGAGAAGTGACAACATAGCTGAACTGGAACATTTTTGCCAAATCAGCAGATTTGTCCTAGATTGTTCACTTCTCCTGTCTTCTCTAAACTCTTCACCCCTTTTGTGAATAACCCTGTTAGATAATGTTTGTGTGAAATGTATCTGTCCCCACGCAGCTCTTAAAGGATGAACTCCACTTTAGAACATCCATGGTCAATGGAAGAAGATGCAGATTTCTCAGTTCTCTTATGACAGTATGACAAAAGTAATCTTCTACAGAAGTAAACATTTCTGCCACTGATACATATACTGGTAAATAAGGACAATGAATGAAATATATACAATTAAAGCAGAACTCATGAGAAAGATCTAGAAACACAATTTAAACCCTTTATATGTGTTTTTATTTTAGGGTCACTACATGACTTTTATGCAAAACTATTTTAAATACCTTAATTTCTCTTGATATCAACCTACTGTAATGCCCACCACTGCAGCACTCACACAGGGCGAGAGTCTCAGCACTCTGAGCCAGTCAAGACTTTATGACTTTGTACTGTGCACCTGTAAACATGCAAGAGAGAGCACAATGGTGACCTATTGATTTTATATTTTAATCAGAGGTGTAGCTTAGACCTGAAAAGGCTGTGCTATTTATATGCATTGCCATCTACAGGGAGGTGCAGCACCTGATTTTGGTGTATGGCAGGGATGCCTGGATCAAAAAACTGGCCAAACAGAATTATAATGCCTTATGGCACTAGCACAAGCACATGGCAGAAGCACAATTTAAATATCTGTATTTCAAATGCATTGATGGCTGTTTTCCTAGAGTTCAGCTTTCAGAAATAAATTGCCATGGAAAACATACTATCCATATGAAAAAATGAGTTTGAACACAAATGATCTAAACCCAAGAACAAAAACGATATTATATTGCAGCTTATCTGTATTTGGGTTCCTTGGCTGTATTATTTCCATGGTTCCTGAGAAATTTCCCTGAAGATTATGGATATTGCTTGCGCTTGATTAGTAGTGATGGTACCTATTTATAAATCTTAAGGGACTCTAGGCCACACTGGACACATGGACAGATATCTATCGATAAAAGCGAGTTTGTCTAGATACGAGTGGTGATTATAAAATCCGCTATAGCATTAGATTTATTCTGAGGGGATGGGAGTTTTCTTTTGAAATGACACTTCAGTAGAGAGGTGTTAACTGGCTGTTGAAAAATAGCCTATGAGCCTGTGGACTCATTTTACAATGCTTCAACTCCAGGATAAAGATTCCTATCACAAAAATGTCACAATTGGGTGTGGTTTTGTTTTTTTTTCTGCCTAATGAGGTTTCAAAATTATAGTCACATGACTGAAAATAAGGGAGAATGAGAATAAGATTCTTGTCCACGTGTAAAGCTTTTTAAAATGAGCCTGTTTGTGTGATTTAAGGGAATGCTTATCAGAACACAAAACCCTGCAAGATTTGATGGTCTTGTTATATATATATTTTTAAATAGGTAATTTAATATAGTAATTATTATTATTTAAAGTAGTATTACATTCTCAAATGTTTTTTAAATAATGGATCCGGATCAAATAAATATACATTTTCAAGCAAAATATTTATTTAAAGTTTTGCTCAAACACTTGTAGTCATCATGTTTCCAAACAGCTCCAACTCTCTCAGTTCAGCTACCCTGACGTCCTGCTCAGTACAAGATCAGAAGGAACTTTACAGTCTCCAGCAGCTGTTCATCTACTAGCCTGGAGAAGGGGGCTCAGGGAGCACACACAGCTTATTAACCCACACAAGTGTGGCTACATGGGGCCCAGCAAGGGAAAGCAATCACCCTAAAACAGGATATCAGGACCAGTGCTCAGGGCATCAGCTGATGATCTGCAGGAAAAAAAAAAGTTTCAACCCTTTCGATGTCACAGACGTATGTCGCACGTCACTGCAAGTGGGCCCCTTTAAACTCTTGGCGGCTCTAGCCACTGCTGTTGGCTTTACACGAGAAGCAATTCTGGTGGCTGTCATCTGACCCCCCCCCTCCCCACTGACAGCCCCACCATGCTTGTCAGGCTCCGCTGCCCCTCCCTGTTGAATGGGGCCTGAAGCGATACTGATTGCATCACTTCCTGTTCCTCAGCTTGAATTCCCTGCAGAAGCGCAATCTGCACTCCAATAGCTATTTTGGAGTATCAAGGCGACACTAGCGGTTTGATTGACCCATGATGTCACCTTAAAGAGCACCTGTCACCACAGAAGATGCTATTACATAGGGGGCTTATGTAATAGCAATTAAGTGAAGTAAAAAATTACAAATTTGGTTACATGCAATGAAAAAAAAATAAGTTGTAAAAAATTGAGAGCTCCAGTAATACATAGCAGCCAGTCTGGGTACATATATGCATTAAAAAAATGGTATTTGTTGCTATAGTTTACTGAATTAGATTCTCTTTGTGGGTATGATTTATTCCAACTAGATCTCAATGTCTGTCATTGCAGTTATGATCATTGCCACTAGATGTCAATGTCTGCTTTTCCAGTGAAGACTAACAATAGGGCTTTGTAAGGTTTTTAGTATTATACATGGCTCTTTTTTACATAATAAAATTGTGCATAGTTCTATACAAATTATTTTTTTATTTTTTTTTAAAGTTTTCTTCCAAATATCAGTTTTGGGTGGACTTGCATTTTAAAATAGATTTTAAAAATGGCCTAAATTCCTACAGCGCATTCTTAATTTTAAGCAGTTTCTATAATCTTCATGCCAGAAGATCCTGTTTTTTTATATGCTCCTACCCTGTTTCCCTGAAAATAAGACCTACCCCGAAAATAAGACCTAGTACTATTTTTGGGAATTGCTAAAATATAAGACCTACACCGAAAATAAGACCTAGTTGTGACCATTGCCAGGGCTGGTGGTGGCCGCGGGAGAGAATCGGCGGTGCCAATGAAGCCAGCACTAGAGGAAGTGAGGCGGCAGCACAGGGAGCAGAGCCGCATAAGCTGATGTTTCCTCTATAGCGACGACTCCTGTCACAGGCGGAGTGATACCGAATGCACTCTGCCTGTAAGGAATCCTATAGTGAAAGTGTGCTTGCTCATTCTGGTTACCAAATTGCTCTTAGAAAGGTACGGCACCCCTGATTGCCCTGATCACCCTATTCTTAACTTGGCCATTTTTGATTATTTAATTTGGATTTGCACTAACTTTGGATTGTTATACATTAAAAAAAAAAGACATCCCCTGAAAATAAGACCTAGTGTGTTTTTTTTTTTTTGGGGGCCAAACAAAATATAAGACAGTCTTATTTTCGGGGAAACACGGTAACTTCACCACTGCAGTGTAATCCTCCAGTACTCCCTGGTGCCACATTGTGCCACTTCTCAATGTGAACCAACATCACCTCCCTACTTGGAGATGGCAGCCAACCAATGTTCATACATGACTTTAGGCATGTCGTGGCATGCCTCTCCATGAGCCCACATCACCTCCCTGCTTGGAGATGCCAGCCCACAAATGTTCATACATGACATTAGGCATATTGTGGCATGCCTCTCCATGAGCCCACATCACCTCCCTGCTTGGAGATGCCAGCCCACCAATGTTCATACATGACATTAGGCATGTTATGGCGTGCCTCTTCATGAGCCCACATCACCTCCATCAATTCCCATAAAACACTCGTGTAGGGGTTTGAGTTGCAGCATTGCAGACACTGTCTTCTGGTCTTTCAGCAGGTGGATAGTGAGGTGGTGATGCTGTCTGCTCACTGGGAAAAGAAGAGAAGTGGTCTGATGGAGCTTCAGGAGCAGCTACAACATATTCCTGTATTTCTGGCAGATCTACAGTCTGTAACTGCTAAACTTGGTGAGTTCTCCTGAACCAGTTCTAGAAGTGTCTCAGCTTTAGTATGTGTTTAGAGGATGACTGCAAATGTGACTGTGATGACAACAGCAATCTGTGATTTATAGCATCAACTATAATTGCATCATGTTTGTTAGAAGTAAAGGTAATGTGAGAATATTAAAATAGTAATTTGTTGACATTGCATCTAAAGAGCTGAAAAAAGCAATGTAAAGGCATTAAAAAAACGAATTTTAGCTACAGATAATGTAAGCTTACACAAAGGGACCCATACATGAGGGCTTCTGATGGTTGTATTCAGAAGGATCACATCCTTGGTTATCCCTTTGTCACCCAGCATTCAGGAGTGGGCAAGATCCCTGTCAGGTTTGTGTGGTGGTGTAAAAAAAGAAAAACCATCTGTGTCGTTGGGGGTGATTTCCCAGACTTTCTCTACCAGAGATGCAAATAAGAGGAGAGTTCCCAAAAATGAGGGGATATCCCTTCTTATATAGCTGTTACTAGGGATGTACCGATAACCGTATCGGTATTGGTGCTAATACTGGGCATTTTCACGAGTACTTGTGAAAATGCCCCGATACTGAGTGCCGATGGCAGCGCTTGAAATTTTTAAATACATTCGGCTGCCCTAAAGTCCCGCGCTTTCTGGGGACCTCGCAGTGGCTGTTTTATTGCGCCAGCCCACACTTCCTGCCGCCGACACAACACCCGCACCCATCCACACAGCACTGGGGAGACGCAGCACATCCTCCTGACACCGCACACAGCACTGGTGAGACAGCGCACAGCCCTGGTGAGCAACACAGAGTATGTAGCTTCATATTCTGCATTGCTGTATAATGTATTGCTGGGATTTGTAGTCCCTCTACAGCTTGGAGTCTGTGGCAGCACTACCAGCGGCGCAGTGTTTGCTGCTGCGACCAGGCCTTGGCGCGCCACCACTTTTCTAAAATCATTAGTTTATGTTTTAGAAAAACTGTCACATGACACTAAAGAAATGGTATCGATAATTTGTATCGGCAAATACTTGAGGAAAAGTATTGGTACTCGTTCTTGAAAAAATAGTATCGTGCATCCCTAGCTGTTAACAGAACAAGTGTCCCCATTGGTATATTTTCCCTCGCTTTTCATAAGAGTGTGACAACTCAAAGGTTTATAAAAGTTCAGATGAGACCGGAAGTTCAGATGAAATGATCACACTGACAACCTTGACAGTTGGCATGCCTTAAGTAACTGTGTTGGGAGATTGGTGGGTATAGTTTTGCTTTAAATTTACTTTCAGCTCAACCTCCAGTTATAGTCAATTTTCCCTGTTGTGTTCAGAAGACAGACTCTGGAGCAGCCGTACATAATAACCAATCGGCTTCTCTCTTCAGCTTGTTCAGTTAAGCTTTAAAAATGAAAGACAGAAGTACATTCGGCACCCATGGCCATTGGGGATTGTTTACCTCCCATAAGATAGTATATGCTAAAGAGGAAATTATCCTAATCAAGCCTGCTCAGTATGTGGGCGGTCCCAGGGAGATGAATCAGAAGAGCGATAGTGGTGCAGCTTTTCAGGGGTATCCTGCAGTTATACTGAAAAATAAAACTTTAGTTTTATTTTACATCCTTTACAGAACTCATCTCACTGCCTGGTGCTCCTGGGCATTAGAGCTTCACAGAGGTATATGGGGCTTGTCTCACTGCATCTCCTGGCCAGGAGACGGAGGTAGACGAACCTCATAGAAGTCTATGGGGCCCCACTTTGCAGATGCAGCAGGCAGTGAAAGTAGCTAGGTGTAGGATGCATTACTGATATCTCCATCCATTCCTTCAGTCAGTCACCTATGCCTTGCAAAAATAAGACATCGGACAGTCACAAGAAGGACTATGGTATTTTTTTTTTTTTTTGTATAATAAATGTTTATTATAAGACATATGAAAAGACATACAAGCAACACGGTGATGGTCATCACTACAGAATACGTAACCTGAAGGATGCACAATCCAAGTCGATATACTAAAATAATAACAGACATTTAAATCCTGAAGTAGTTTCCCGGTGCTTAAAAAAAAGGAGAAAGTGAGGAAAAGTAAGGATATGGGTTAGATCAGATGGGAGCGGGGAAAGGAAAGTATGGGAAAGGGGGCTGGGTGAGTAGTGGAAAAGGAAGGGGATAGGGAGGTAGGATCATACCCAATTAAACAGTTTGCATTTATTCCAGCAATTATTGATAATTCCAGGTATAATGTTTAATGCAAACAGCTTTGTAGTATCTATGAAAATACAGTAGGGAAACCCCACCCAGGGAATTTGGTCTAGTCAGAGTATTGTAAGAAATGCGGGCTCTATTATGTTTCCATATAAACCTAGAAACCAGTGATCGTAATAGGGCAAAATAGGTGGAAGGGACCCCCATGGGCAACATTTGAAAGAGGAAGAGCAGTCTCGGCAACACGTTCATCTTAATGGCATTTATTCTGCCCATCCAGGAGTGGTATAGAGGGGACCAGCGGTTCAAGTCTGCTCTTATTTCATTCAATAGTGGCATGTAGTTATACCGGAACAAGTCCTTCAGGCGGGGCGCGTAGTTAACCCCCAGACACTTCAGTTTGTGCGACTGCCATGTAAAAGGAAAGTGAGACTTTAAAGCTCTAACCTCGGTTGGGGGCACTGTCAGGTTCAGAATAGTGGATTTTGAAAGATTGATTTTAAAGTTGGACAATTTGTTATATTCCTTTAGTTCTAGGAGTAAGTTTGGAAGGGAGATACGGGGCTACTAATGTAGAATAGGATGTCATACGCCGCATATTTATGTTCTCTGGTTCCCACCTTTACCCCTTTGATGTTAATATTACGGGCTATCGTAGATAGGAAAGGTTCCAGGGAAATGGCAAACAGCAGAGGCGACAGTGGGCACCCCTGCCGCGTGCCGTTCCCCAGAGAAAAGGAAGGACTGAGCACTCCGTTAACCCTTACCTGCGCCTGGGGATCACGATATAACGCGCCAATCCTGGACATCAAACCCGTTCGTATCCCCACAGTTCCCAGAGTTGCAGGCATGAAATCCCAGGCCACTCTGTCAAACGCTTTTTCTGCGTCTGTTGACAGCAATAGTGTGGCCTGGGATGTCCTGCGGATACTGTCGCTATGTCCTTTGACAGGTGGACTACTGTGTCATCTTTGTTTTTAATTTTGGGGATGTATGAAGTGGAAAGTCTGTGGCATAGGGATCTAGCTAAAAATTTACCTGATTTGTTACCCCATTCATAATTCCGGTGGCTCATCCACATTAATTTTTGGGCAGTTTTATGATTAAGAAGTGTTTTTAGGTCTTCTCTGGCCTGTATTAGTGAATGATAGTGGCGAAGTTGTAATGAGCGTTTATGAAGGCGTTCTAAGGATCTAATTTTTTCTAATAAGGATTGCAATTCTTGTTCCGCCTCTCGTTTTTTCCTTGCTCCCAACTCTATCAGCTGCCCTCGGATGACCGCCTTGTGGGCCTCCCAAAGCACCGCTGGAGAGGTACCCGGGGTGGCATTAGCCTGAAAGTAAGTCCGCAATTCCGTGAGCAGTTGCTCTTTTGCTAAGAGGCAACGAAGTAAATCTTCATTGAGTTTCCAGTTGTGAGATCTGGAGGGGATAAGTGTAAGTGGTGATGATCTACAAATATCATATCAAGACGGGAGTATGACGCGTGAGTGGCTGAGTAGTGAGTAAAATCCTTAACAGCTGGATATAGAAAACGCCATGTGCCTACCAATTGTGTTTTGTGTAGAAGCGATCTAATAAATGACAGCTGGTTATATGAGCGTGCAGAGCGACCCGATGAGGTATCTACATGAGGATCTAGTGCGACATTGAAGTCTCCCCCCACCAATAACACTCCACTAGCAAAGTCAGATAGCTTATTAAATGTCTTAGACAAGAAACCTGCTTGGTCCTGGTTTGGACAATATATATTAGGCAGAGTACATGTGGTATTGCCGAGACTGCCCCTCAAGAACAAATATCACCCTGAATCATCGGTCCTCATTTCAGATAATATAAAAGGGGTACCCCTGCGTAAACCAATGGCAACCCCCTTAGCATGGTTTGTGTTCGATAAACTGTAATACCAGGTGGGGTAATGATATGACGTCAGTCGTGTATTAGTAGACTGCGATAAGTGTGCTATATCACAGGAGAGTCTTTTCAGTTCCCCCAATACCTGGTGACGTTTGGTTGGGGTGTTAAGGCCCCTAACATTGTAAGATGTCAAATTCACCGTTGCCATGGTAACGCATGAGTCTCCCTGTGCAAAAATGCTGATATACATACATTGGTGACCCTACAAAGGAGAGTAGAAGAGGGGAGGGAGGGAGGGAGGAGAGGTAGAGAGAGGATGAAAACGGGCAAGAACAACAAAAAAAAGGGGAAATTGGAGAAGTCTCCAGCACAGCACAATATTGAAGGCCTGAGGCCTGACCTCCGACATCATAAACAAGCAAAGGAGGATCCATTGGTCTCCAGTGCCGTTCCAGCAACCAAGTGCCTCCTGGGGGGGGTGTATGGTACCGCTAGGTGTCCAAGCAGTATATAAAAAAAAATAAAAACCACAGAAACTTTCCGCCTGAAAATAAACTCAGCGCAGTTCAAGCAGGCTGTAACCGTCAGCCCGACCAGGATACTGTCAAGTAGTGTAACTACACTCAGTCAACTGATGCCGTTAAGAAAAAGTAGATTCAAATAGCGATCATTGAAAAAATATATCGGAGCACAACCGGTGCGAACAATGTGGCATCCGCCATGACATTCATTATGTCAAACCAGAGAAAAATTATCGGAGTCAATCCGCAGAGTTGTACCGGGCCCTGCTCACCCCAGTCCGTCAGGGTTGATAGGCCTGCCCGAGCGATGTTTCTTTGGAGAGGGTTTCCATCCGCGGCTTGCATCTGGGTTGGAGTCCGGTATGGCGCTGGTCCAGCTCGGCAGGTCCGGAATCGAGATCCCCAAATCGGTGCAGAAGGCTTCTAGCTCT